AATGGGGCTGGGGGTATTTTGGGGACCGAGGGGAGCCCGATCCCTCGCTGACGTCGGGGTCTGCAGGAGCCCGATGGTGACGGGCACCTCGGTGCTGGGGGTGAAGTTCTCCGGGGGGGTGATCATCGCTGCCGACATGATGGGCTCCTACGGCTCCCTCGCCCGCTTCCGTGGCATCTCCCGGCTCCTGAAGGTGAACGACAGCACCGTCCTGGGGGCCTCGGGGGACTACGCCGACTTCCAGTACCTCAAGCAGATCATCGACCAGATGGTGTAAGTCCTGGTGGCCACCCCTGCAGCCCCCGTGGCCCCGGCTCGGGCTGGGCAAGCCCTGACCTGGGCATCTCCCTCCTCCTGCTCCTCAAAGGGCTGAGGAGTAATTAAATGAGGGGGGATAAACCCTAGATTAAATCCCCCCCCCTCAACAATCCCTTTGGGACAAGTGTCTTTTTTCCCCGTGCTGAGCGCTGCGGAGAACCATTTTTTGTTATTCTTTATGGCTGATTCACCTCTTTTAAGGCCTTTTTTTGAAAACAGGCTGCGAGGGTGGGGGGACTCTGTCCTGCTGGGGCTGTCGCTCCCTGGCTTTTCTCACTTGGGTGAAATTTCTCCCTAAATCAGCATCGATGAGGAGCTGTTGGGGGACGGTCACAGCTACAGCCCCAAAGCCATCCATTCCTGGCTGACCAGAGTCATGTACAACCGAAGGTCCAAGATCAATCCCCTCTGGAACACCGTGGTCATCGGGGGCTGCTACAACGGCGAGAGGTGAGCGAGGAGGAGCCTGTGAGAGTTCCTGGGGGGGGGTTCCTCCCATGGTTTGGGGCTGAGACAGGCTCTGGGGCCGAGTCCCTCCCCACCGCGCTCAGGGGTCTGTCCCTCCAGCTTCCTGGGATACGTGGACATGCTCGGCGTCGCCTACGAGGCCCCGACGCTCGCTACGGGCTACGGAGCGTACCTGGCTCAGGTAGGGAACGCTCCCGCTCCGCTGCCGACGCCGTGACCGAAATGTTGGATTCTATACTTATTTTTCCCCCCACCTCCCACCTCCTCCAGCCGCTGATGAGAGAATTCTTGGAGAAGAAGCCCAGCCCGACGAAGGAGGAAGCCCGGGACCTGATTGAGCGCTGCATGAAAATTTTGTATTACAGAGATGCTCGGTCTTTTAACAGGGTGAGTGGCCGGGGGGCTGGTGGGGGGTGGCCATGGGGTGGCCAGGAGCTGGCGGGGGGTGGCCAGAGATGCTGCACACCTCAGGGTGACCTTCCCCAGGCCGTTTTCTGTCCCCGAGCCCAGGGAGCTCGGTGGTAGCCCCTGAGGTGGGTGCATTAGGAGACCCCCCTGGCAGAGCTCTCTCCTCTCGTCTCCTCGAGAGCGGTTTGAGTCCGGGCGACGCTCGGCTCCGGTGCTTCCGTGGATCCGATGATGCTTCTCCCGTCACCGCGGCTGGAGCATCCAGAGCCTCTAATCCTTCAGTTTTGGGAGCCTTTTTGTTCAGTGCCGCTGCCTGAGTGTCCCCGGGGGGGAAAGGAAAAACATTCCTGAATAAAAAAAAACAAACATGTTAAAACAAGGTTGTTTAAGGGAAAGCTGATATTCCTCACCCCGAGCGATCAGAGCTTTCCTGGGGCTTGGCTTCAGCTCAAGGGTGGAATTCGGGCTTCACGGAGAACCGTCGGTGTCTGGGGGGGTTCATGGAGAACTGTTGGTGTCTGGGGGCTTCGTAGACAACCATCAGAGTTTGGGGGGTTCGTGGAGAACCGTCGGTGTCTGGGAGGTTCATGGAGAACTGTTGGTGTCTGGGGGCTTCGTAGACAACCATCAGAGTTTGGGGGGTTCGTGGAGAACCGTCGGTGTCTGGGAGGTTCATGGAGAACTGTTGGTGTCTGGGGGCTTCGTAGACAACCATCAGAGTTTGGGGGGTTCGTGGAGAACCGTCGGTGTCTGGGAGGTTCATGGAGAACTGTTGGTGTCTGGGGGGCTTTGTAGACAACCACTGGAGTTTGGGGGGTTCGTGGAGAACCATCGGAGTTTGAGGGGTTTGCGGAGAACCGTTGGTGTCTGGGGGACTTTGTAGACAACCATCGGAGTTTGGGGGGTTCGTGGAGAACTGTTGGTGTCTGGGGGTTCACAGAGACCGGTGGGTGTTTTCTCTCCCCAGTATGAACTCTCCATCGTGACGGAGAAGGGGGTGGAGCTGGAGGGGCCCCTGACGCTGGAGGCCAACTGGGACATCGCGCACCTCGTCAGGTAACGGCGCACCCGGGAAATGGGGAAAACGGGGAAAATGGGGGTGTTTTTGGCTGTGCTGCCTCCTGACCCCATCCCGTCTCTTCCCGCAGCGGCTTCGAGTGATCCCGCCGAGCTGCCGCCTCCGCCATCGCCCTCGTCTGTCCGTAAATCCCTGACTCCTTTTTATTTTCCTTCTTTTTTGAAACAAAATAAACCTGTTGAGAGAAGCCTGTGTTTGTGCCGGGGGTCGGGTTTTGGGGGGACTCTCCAGAAATACCAGCCTCGGGAAGGCTCCCCCTTTCCAGGGGTGGAAGGTGCGAATCAATCCTTACTTCTGCTGGAAAAGGGGCAGCAAAAAAGTGGCTTTTATTATTTTTGTGCCGGCTTTTGTTTACCCGGAACACACAGAGGGGAAAAATGGAATTCAGAGCAGAATAATTCAAGCTTTCCCTGTCCCTGCGGCCGCACGGGGACACACCAGTATTTCCCACTACCCCACAGAAACAACAGCAGAAATATTTATCCAGGAGAGGGTTTTATTCATGATTTTTCAGACTTTTGTTTAAAAAAAAAACCTCAAAAACGTCATTGGGGGGGCACAGGTTGTTCTGCTGACCCCACGGAAGGGCCGAAGGGCAGGGAGGGGGCACAGAAACGCCCCGGGACAGGGCTCTGCCGAGTGTTAACGACACAAACGTGTTAATTACATGTTAATTACAGTCCCATGTGGGGCTCCGAGGGCTCCGGGGCACAGAGAGGGACCCAGCATGAAGCCCTGGGGCCACACTTCGTACGGAGGGTTACGGTACCACGGGAGTTAATTAGTTCTTCATAATAAAAACGCCATGTTTATAAATCCATTTCCCTGGTTTTATTAAATGTTCCAACTTTATGTACATTTTGAAGATGAGCCATTTACAGGTCTGCACATGCTGCCTCCTGCGTCCCTCGGGTCACGGGGAAGGGTCACAAACCCTCCCTGGGAACAGAAAAAGGTGCAGGTGCCTGGGGATTCCGTCGATACCATCATACGTACAATTAAAAAAAACTCCTCAAACATGCAAGTTGTAGAAAAATTTTAAGCTGGCAGTGAAAAATAAAAACAAACGTCTTCTTTTTTTTTTTTGTGCACGTCACAGTTTGTCTCATTGAAATCAGGGTTTTTCTAATTCTAAGGGACGTAGTGTCTGATGCCACTGGTTAAAGCAGGTTTATAATTAAGAGTCGTTAAAAGCTCTGCAACCCCAGCACCACCTCTCCCTGCTGGAACCAAAGGGGCAAAAACCCTCCCCCTCCTGTGTTCACCCCGTGTCCAAATTCCCAAGCAAAATAATTAACTCTTCCTTAGAGGAAAACAAACAAACAAACAAACAAAAACAACCCAAAAATAAAAACCAAAGGGAGAAAAAAAAAGCAAACCAAACCCAAACCTTAAGGGTCAATCAATCAGAGAAGCTTCACGCGTTAAAGCAATAACTCAGATCTAAATTTCTCCACAGAAACCTAAATCTCTGGGTCAAGTGTTAAAAAAAAAAGAAAAAAAGAAAAAAAAAAGAAATCTGTGTTAAAACAACCCAAAAGATCGCTGTCCTGGTTCATCAGCTACAGAGGTTTTTTTTTTTTTTCCTTTCTTTAGAAATGGTCACATTGACAATGTATAATTCAAAACATTTCTGCACAATAAAAACAGAAAAACTATGATACAGTGAGGTAAAGAAAAACGCAAAAATATTCACCCACAATATATTTTCAGAAAATACCAACACAGTGATTTTTTTTTTTTCCTTTTAAAAAAGCACAAAACTTATAAATGAACAGCATAAATGGCTATTTATCTGAGTGATCGCCTACGAATTTTCCTAAACCCACAAATCCACAGGGAAGTGTAATGGTCTCAGCCAACATTTATTTAAAAAATAACCCTTTCTGGGGATCCGCGCTCAGATTTCCATCAGATCCAAGTCGGCGTCTTCGAAGCCGTAGAAGGACTCAGTCTCGCTCTCCCCCTCGAAGAGCCGGTGGAGGATCTCGGGGTCGGTGGCCTCCTCGGCCGGGCTGCGGTCCTGGACCTCGGCCACCGCCTGGGGTGGCCCCTGGCCCAGCTTCAGCTGCTCCTCCAGCGAGGAGATGAGCTCCTCCTGCATGTCGGCGTTGCGGCGGGGCGAGTTGGCGGTGCCGTCGGGGCCGGGCAGGACGCTGGCCACCAAGAAGGATTGTTGGACCAGTTCTGGAGAGTCACTGATCACCTCCAGCGCCTCCGCCAGCCAGCACAGCACCAGCTGCAGGAGAATGTCCGAGTCGCAGGTGGAGTCCGCCATCTCCTTGGCTTGCTCTTTCCACTTTTTATGCAAGAAATTTTTCACAGTCCTTTTTATACAAACATCCAGGGGTTGGATTTTGGAGCTGCAGCCGGCGGGGACGACGGCCGGCAGGGTGCTGGAGGCGCTCAGCAGGGACAGGACCTCCTCGGAGAGGTGCGTTCGGTGGCAGTCCAGCACCAACATGCCCTTGCTGTTCTGGCACTCCGTGTGTTTCTGCCACACTCGGGACGCCCACAGCTCCATCACCTCGTCGTCGCTGTATCCGTTCTCCTTGGCTTCCAGGAGGATGGACTCCGGCACGTTGGCGGGCTGCTGGACGTGACCCCTGTAGAAGACCAGCGTGGGGAGGACGCTCCCGTCGGCGAGGATGGTGAGGACCACGTCGCACCAGGGCTCCCCGGTGCCCACCGTCTGCAGAGCGTTCTCCTTGCGGTCGTCGCTGCTCAGCACCTCCACGTCCAGGAAGAGGGAGATCTCGTCGATGGCGGCGATCATGGAGAGGGGCAGGTCCTGGGTGTGGATCTGCCTCTGCACGAACTCGATGAAGCAGCTGGCGTTGTCCTCCACGTCCTTGGGGAGGGGGTGAGCCACGGCCCGCCGCGTGTGCGTGCTGAGGTTGTGCCGCAGCATGAACCTCACCGCCCACTCGTAGGAGATCTTGAAGCCCCCTTCCAAGGAGCGGCCGATCTTGGTGGCTTTCTGGAAGAGGGTCTCCTCGTTGACGGGCAGCTGCTGCTCCCGCTGCGTCAGGACCCACTCCGCCAGCTTCTCCTCCGCCTCCAGGCTGAGGTATTTGCCCTCCGACAGCGAGGCCAAGTTCTCCTCTTGGAAAGCCTGGAACCTCCTCAGCCAACGCTTGATGCGCCGCTGGGGGTTTCGGAAGTGCTCGGCCGCCTGCTCCGTGTTGCAGCACAAGGCAAAAAGCACCACCCGCAGCTTTTTTACCGATAACTGCTCTTTTTTGCTGGCGGGTTCGGGCTCCTTCGTCGCCTGCTCGTCTTCTCGAGCCTCCGTGTTTAAGGTCTCCTCCTCGGGGCAGAGGGGGGGTCTGCTGGAGGCCCCCGGCGCCCGCTCGGGCTCCAGCTCGTCCCTGGCCGGTAACACGGACTTGGTTTTCACAGTAGCAGCTTTTCCTGGGGAATAGGGAGGGCAGGGGTTCTTCACGCTCTTGTCCTGGGGCTGAACGTGCCTTGAAGGGAGAGAACACAGGGACCTTCTTAAAACCCAGCAAAAAAATCGAGTTGGTAAGGGAAAACCACTGAAGGAAAACACCAACCACCACCTCCACCAACCCCTCCACCACCTCCACCACCCCTCCACCACCCTCAAAACCCAGCAAAAAAAAATCGAGCTGGTGAGGGAAAACAAAGGAAGGAAAACACCAACCACCAACCCTCCACCACCTCCACCAACCCTCCACCTCCGGGAGCAGGGAAGAGTTTACAAACACTTTACCTGGAATGTGATATCCAAGTAGGCCCTGATAAGAAAAACAAAACAACAACCATTTGTAGCTTGGCAAACAAACACCCAACAGGTGCAAACACAGACTCTCCCAGAGGGGACCCCCCAGGTGCTGTAGGCAGAGCTGACCCCCACACCCAGGGACCCCCCACTCATCAGCAACCCCCCCATCTGCTTGAAACGACCGGAGTTTGGTTCGGAAAGCTCAGCTTTGGGACCAGCAGGGACACCCCGAAGCTTGGGAAGCAGAGAAGTGGTGGTAACTCCCCCCCTCAACGGCCGGGACGCGCGTCCGGGCTCCTTTCAAACCCCAGCAGCTGCCCCAGGCCCCCGCTGTCACCGGGACACAATGGTGTCTCCAGGAACAGAGGGACCCCGCTGAAGCCCCCGCATTGTCCCTCCTGGGAAGAGCCCCCGGTGACTCAAAGCCCCGCTCTCCCATCTCCATAACAATGGGCACCGCTCAGAAGGACCCTCAGGACTCAGCCCAAGGCCAAACAAAGCCCTTTTTTGACCTGGGAGTCTCTGAACTCACAGGATTATGTCCTGCCTGAATTATTTTTGCAACTTCTCTGAGCTCTTACCTCGGAAAATGATGTTACTAAACTCATGCGAGGGGTTGAAGACCAGGTGTTTGGCCATCGCGTCGCCCTCGGACGTTACGAAGAGACAAGAGGAGCAGGAGAGCTTCATGCCGCTGGGAAAGGGAAAAAGAAGTGAGCTCAGTTCCAGGATGAGATATAAAAACACATAACCCCCTCCAGTGCACGCAGGCAGAGCCCCCACCCCAAACCAGTAACTCCCACTGGAAGGCAATGGGAGTCTCGGGCAATATATTGCCCTTAATTCAACACGTTTTCCCGTGTGGCAAAAAATAAGCAGAGCTTCTTCAGAAGCAGATCATGAAAGAAAAAGAACTGGGAAAATCAGAAGGTGAAGGCAGAGTAGATCCCCAGGTGATTAGAACAAGTTTTCCATTACCAGGCAGTGTAGTTTTTAAACAAAGCCAAGTATTTTGGACTCTTCCGAGGAACGTGGTTGCTGTAAGAGAAAAGAGTTTATTAAACCTCAGAATTATTCGGGGTATTTAAAGAGCTACAAACCCAGGCAAAACACAGTGTGTTTACAAAGACAGGCCCAATCCTGGGCTTAATAATATTTTTGTCTGCCAGAATTGTGTTCAAGGACATGAAAACTCTGTGTCTAAATAAAACCAAGTGGAGGGTGACACCTGGAAATGCCCAGATTTTGGAGTAACTGTTCTGCCCCCCTCCCAGCCCCGGAAGGCAGGAGATGGTGGGTTTTTTTTTCTTTTTAAATTTTTTCAATTATTCCACCTGAGAGTTTTACAAGAAGTCTCAGGAGCACGGAGAAGATGCCGGGTGTGCGCAGCACCCCTCCCCAGCCCCAGAGCTGAGAGCTTGGGGTGGACCTTGGAGCTTTTGGGCTGTTTTCTCCTGCCCTTCGAAAGGCAGCGCCCATGTCAGAGCACAGCTCGGCGTCCTGCCAACCGCCCCCGTGAGCTGGCAACTCCTGATGCCCCTTTATTAGGGATGATCAGGGGGATGGAGCACCTCTGCTCCGAGGACAGGCTGAGGGAGCTGGGGTTGTTCAGCCTGGAGAAGAGGAGGCTCCGGGGAGACCTAATACCTGAAGGGGGCCTACAGGAAGGCTGGGGAGAACCTGTTTAGAAAGGCCTGCAGTGACAGGACGAGGGGCAATGGCTTCAAGCTGGAGGGGAACAGATTTAGACTGGAGATGAGGAGAGGGTTCTTCACTGGGAGGGTGGTGGAGCACTGGGACAGGTTGCCCAGGGAGGTGGTTGAGGCCCCTTCCCTGGAGATATTAAAGGTGAGGCCTAGTGAGGCCTGATGAGGCCCTGGGCAACCTGGTCTAGTTGGGGGTGTCCCTGCTGACTGCGGGGGGTGGGACTAGATGGCCTTTGGAGGTCCCTTCCAGCCTGGGCAACTCTATGATTCTATTACAGGGCAGGGGGCAAACTCCAGAGGTGGGATGGGATTTGGGGGGGAGGAAGAGCATCCCGCATCCCACCTACTTGATCATGTGGTTGGCGTAGGCGCGGGAGCAGCAGGTGCTGTAGCGACACAGGGAGCAGTGCACGTAGGTGGGGAAGTGGTTGGGGAAGTCGGGGATCTCGAAGCTGCACTCCAGGCAGGTCTGTCTCCCCAGGACGCTCCTGAAAAGACAAGGATGGGGAGGAAGGATCGTCGTTAGTGGGTGGACAAGCCCCTCGGGAGTTACAACCACCAATTTCCAGGGGTCTGACACCAAACTACTCCCCTCTCCCACCCTGGGATCTCAGGGCACCTCGGTGCCAGCCTAAACATTCCCACTAGCTGCTGTTGGGAGTTCACAATACAAGAATGGGCTATAAATAAATAAGTTAATAAATTAAAATATCGACGACAAGGCAGCGGGGACAGAGGACGGGCAGGCACCCTCACGCTGATGAAATTCCATGGTTTCATCATGAATTCATGATGAAATTCCATGGTTTCAGATCAGATCAGATTAGATCTCAGGAAGAAATTTTTGACTCTGAAGGTGGTGAGAGCCTGGCCCAGGTTGCCCAGAGAAGCTGTGGCTGCCCCATCCCTGGAAGTGTTCAAGGCCAGGTTGGATGGGGCTTGGAGCAACCTGGGCTGGTGGGAGGTGTCCCTGCACATGGCAGGGGGGTTGGAACTCGATGATCTTTGAGGTCCCTTCCAACCCAAACCATTCTGTGATTCTATTCTATGATTCTATAAGATCTCCCAGCTAATTCTGCATTTTGCTGTGGCACCTTAAGGGCTGTTGTAACATGACTTCACCCCAGGTTCGAGGGAGGCCGATTCTCCTGCCATGAAGTCTCCATAAAATCTCCCAGCTAATTCTGTATTTTGCAGTGGCACCTTAAGGGCTGCTGTAACATGACTTCACCCCGGGTTCGTGGGAGGCCGATTCTCCTGCCATGAAGTCTCCTTGGCAACTGTCAGACAGAGCTGCCCAGCGCCGGGGATCGCGTTACCCATCGCTGTGCCCTTAAAAAACTAACTACGTTGTCTTTAAAACAAATCTTAATTATTATTTTTTTTTTTTTTAAATTTGAAATTTAGGCAAAAGCTCTGACATTTTTTTGACGGCTCTCTTCTGGACGTTCCTCTGGACAGGTGGGTACAGGAAGATGGGCTGGGGGTCAGCAGAAGAGGAGAGGGAAGCGTTTTCCTGCCCCGGCCCCGGCGGCATCTCGCTCGACGCTATGGGCACTGCCCGTGGCTGCCCTCGGGACGCCCTGATCGTCACCTGCAGGGAACACACACACCAAACCTCCTCAGACACAAGCAGCCACCCATCCAACTCGGACTCCTCCGTTCGGAGAAGTCCTTCAGGCTCCTGGCAGAGAACAATGAGGTGCTCCTGGGTCACCCCTCGGTCCCTCCCTAAAAAGGACAATGCCCTGAGCCCCAGAAGTGCCCGTTTGTCCCCAAAGGCTCCAGACAAGCAGTTCAGGCACCATCACCTGCAGGAATCTTCGAGAGGGGAGTTTAACCTCTGTTGTGCCACTCGCACCTCCTCTCACTTATGGTTCTGGGAGGTATCTCATTACCCAAGCACACACCAAGGGACAGACACGGAGTGTCCTTCTGTCCCCCTGAGTGTGGTTTGAGTGATGCAGGTGAAGCAAATGTCATAAATACAGACACTAGGGGTGTTCCCTGAGCAGAGGCTGGCCGTTAACTCGGGTTTCTTGCTCTTTAACTTCCATTTCTTACCTTGGTTCCAGGTTTCAATCCTTCTAACTGTTTGGGCTTTCGGAAGGTTTTGTGGTGCTGCAGCTTGTGTTCGATTTTATCCTTGGCAAATATGAACTGGAGCCTACACTTGTTGCAGTGATAAACACTCTTCTTCTAAAGCAAATGCAAACGAGAGACATCTCATTTTAGCGACAGAGAAGTCACAACACAGCAGGGGGGGTGTTTAAAATAAAGAAAAAAGCAAGAGAAAACCCCACACTTTGGCTCTTTGAAACCAAAGGCAGCCCCATTTTTCCTTAACCTCTGAAAGCTCCGTATCTGGGGTGTTTTGGTTTTAACTTTTTGGTTTGTTTTGGTTTTTGATTGAAATGCTCAGACTCTGGGGAGGCACCAGCCCTGGAAGCGCCGTGGAACGAGTCTCACCCAGGTTGTTCAGGGCAAAGGCACAGGGGCAGAGCAGCGTGTGGGGCACCTTTCCTGCCAAAGCTGCCTCTCGGGGGGTCAGCAACGGGGCTTTGGGGGCAAATCAATGCGGGGACTCGGAGAGAGCCCCCCGTTTCTATATCCTGAACGTACAGTCCAGCTACACCCTCAGCAAATGTGCTATAATCCATCCAGTGTGCACAGAAACAGAACAGCAAGCTGTAGAAATCACAACACAGCGTGATTTACTTATTCATCACCTGGAGATCAAACCCCAAATGAAGCCAGAGCCCACTGTCTGTTCATCAGCATGTGATGCAGACCCACCCCAGCAAAACCTGCTTTTTTTCTGCTACGCAACCCCCTCTTTCAACCGAGTTTTCTTTCTTTCTTTCTGCTTTTTATTCCAAGCCAAAGCTCAGCTCCTCACACGCTCCGTCCCCACCGGCCATCACACCTGGTGCCTCATGAAGTGCTGCTGGAAGGCGTTGCCGTTCTTGAAGACCTTGAGGCAGTAGGGACAGAGGAGGTGCCGCGTGTCCTCGTGGATCATGCGGAAATGACTGTCCACCTCGGAGTAGAGCGAGGAGCGGTACTGGCAGACCTGGGGCAGAGACAATTTCCAGTGAAATAACCCAGAAACCCCTCTCACATCCACCGCTGCGCCGTGGGGAGCTTCACAGTGACGCCCAGAGATGCTCATCAGTGGAGCTCGGGGTCCTGAAGAACCCACCTGCTTATCCCAACTGAGAGATACCAAGTCAAGCAGCGAATATTCAGAGGATTTTGGAAAAAAAAGGTTTGAACTACTCGTATGAAAAGAAAGTAGCGACAAGTCAAGCTCCAGACCCAAGAAAAAAAGAAGGAAAAAAAGGAGAGACGGTCAATGCAAAGCAGTTGGGATATATTAAAAAGCAGGTCTAGGTAAAATGCAGCATCTGGAACATAATCTGGTTTAATATAACCCATTTTAGGAGTTTCTTCTTGTTTGGAGGGGCAGTTTAGGACCTCTGGGTGGAGATAGCACGTTCAGAATGGACGCAAGGACAAATCTCATGGCAACAGAGCGTCAAGAAAAGGTATCACCCAAGGAACATAATCTCATCTGCTCCAGAGTGACAACTCCTCGTTATGGCACAGGAAAAATTAGGTGCTGAACAGCACTGGCTCTGAACAAAGGTCTATGGAGCTGACCCAGCAGCAGAGTGGTGGGGACCGGTGGCAAACAAACACTTAGCCACTTGTGCTGCCCTGGTGGCCATTGGGCTACTCTAATTCCACACCTGGAAAAACCTCCACGGGCTCCACAGCACTGCCCCGTGGAGTTTCTGCTCGTTTCTGCTCATTCTCTAGTGTGTGTTTATCAAATCCAGCCCCACAGCCAAGGTTAGTACCTGACAAACGTAGGGCATCTCCCCGGGCTTGTGCGTGTCCTTCATGTGCTGCAGGAACATGGGCTCGCTCTCGAAGGCCCACTCACAGATCTTGCACTTGGCTGCAAAGGAAAGGACAAGCAGGTAATGGCCAGGGATGAGAAAACCCTCTTCAAACCTGGCACTGGCCATGGAACAACTTAAAACAAAAGAAAACCAACCAACCAACCAAAAAAACAACTCAAAAAACCACCTCTCAACTCTTTGAATTGCCTCGACAATAAAATGTATTTTGAGAGGTTTCCAAAAAGCACCAGAAGTTCTCCTACATAAAAAGGCAGGTAACTCAAAAAACCACCTCTCAACTCTTTGAATTGCCTCGACAATAAATAAAATATATTTTGAGAGGTTTCCAAAAAGCACCAGAAGTTCTCCTACATAAAAGGGCAGGTACACCAGGCAGAAAGACATCCCAACGAGGGAACTGCAAGTGATTTTAGATCAGCTGTCAGCCTCCTGGGAAAAATGACCTTCTGCCACGGGGTTATTATTGAACTCAATCATTAAAGTTTGCAGAAATGGGATTTAGATGGATTTTGCTGCTGGCCCTACAAAACCAAGGCACTGAGGGGTGAGGCCCAACAGTCACTCCTTTCTGAACAGATCTGTGGGTAAAACCAGACAGAACCCTCTGAAACCTAAACAAACCAACAATGGCACAAAATGAACTTACTGGTTGACTCGTAGGGACTGTGGACGTTCTCCAGGTGACACTGCAGCTGGAAGGGGGTGGAGAACTGTCTGTAGCAGTGCTGGCAGATGGTGTGGACGTCCACCTCGCCGTTCTGCTGGTCCAGCTCCACGTGGTGCTTCATGTGATTCATGAACCTGATGGGGAGGAGAAGAGTGTGAACACCAAGTCCAAACATTTTGCACCCATAACCCTGAGAGCATTACCAACACTACACCACAAGTGGTTTTGACACCATTGAGATGTTTCCTTCTTGCTCTTCCCATCAAAAGGAAGCAAAATCCCCTCCTACCCAGCACCTTCCTGCTCCCCAAGTCCAGGAGAAGCACAAGAACAGGGTTTGCAGCACAGGGGCTGCACTTCTGACCCCCCCAGCCCTTCCACTGATGGCAACAAAACATTCAACTTAGAAGAAAAACCAGTGGCCCCGTTACCACAACAGAACACCACAAAGGCTGGCTCACAAGAACACATTATTTCATAAAAAAAGGCATCGAATGAGGATGGGAAGAGCAGCTCTTCGAGAAGAATTATCTCCTATTCCCTAGTGAGACCAGTGACGAGCGAACGAGGCGTCTCCGCTCCAGAACATTAAGGCCATTATTCCAACCAAGTGGTCTTCTTACAGCTCGATCCCTGCCTGAATGGAATGAGGATGGGAAAACCTCTCCCTCCTGTGCTTCAGTTTTGATCTACAGCTACACTACAGGAAGCTGCAGGGCCCGGGAGCGGCGCTGAGGCCTGGTTTTCCCTTTCTGCAGACGAGAGGGACCGGACCCCTGGCTCTGCGGCCCCCGCGTTCCTCTCACCGTATGTTGTTCTTTAGCCTCTTGGTGCAGTGTGGACACCTGAAGGACGTCGGGACCTTGGGGAAGTTCAGCAGCTGGCTCACTTTGCCACCGTCTCTGCCGTAGTAGAAATCATCTACCAACATAATGAGCTTACTTTGGGAGGAGTCGACTACGTTTTCGCTGGGCTCTGGGGCTTTAGCAGGTGGGGACAGCGCAGGGATCGGAGCAGAGGAGGGTGGCGAAGCAACAGCCGGAGTTTTTTCTGGAGACGGGGGCTTTGCGGATTGAATATTTGGTTCAGATTCTAGAGATTTTCTTTTCTTGAGGAACTCAACCATTTCGGGGCAGCAGTACTAAAAGGAACAAACAAACACAAGAAGAAAAGCCCCCACATTAAAGCGTACCCAGGCAGAACCATACGTGCTATCAGACAAGGACCAGCACTAAGAGAGGACAGGGGAGCTCTAGGAAAGGGTAACACAGACTCAAATTCCAATTTTCTGGTTTGATTCTTTACTGCTCAGTAAGAACAGAAAATGAATGGACCTCCAGGAGGACATAAACTAAGGTCCTGCCTAGTTCCGGGTGAGGTCTTCCAGAAACCTCTCCCTTTCTCCCCATCACACTCTGCCTTTCCAGAGAAGCCCCTGATGGATGGAGAACCCTCCAGACCCACGAGCAATCACCCACTGGCTGCTGGGCTCCGGGCTGTTACTTACACACATGTGGCCTCTTAATTCCCTGTCACACTCTGCCTTTCCACAGAAGCCCCTGATGGATGGAGAACCCTCCAGACCCACGAGCAATCACCCACTGGCTGTTACTTACACACATGTGGCCTCTTAAAGCTTCGGTGACTCGGAACTGAGCGTCACACCTCGGGCAGACCTTCCTGCCACCGTCTTGCAAATCAAAGGTGGGAATAGGAGATGAACTGACTGCAAGGGGAGAAACACACAAAAAACATCAGAATCCTCGCCTTCCATCCCAAATCCAGGCAACCCTCCTGGCATTCTGAAATCCTTTTGTTTGAGGAGCTGTACTTTTAACTACTGACTACTCTGAGAGAGAGGCCAACACCTTAAGGAGATGCTCTTTTTGGGAGAAGCAAAGATTTTATCCTTTTGCCTCCTTGTGTAGAGTATTTGAGGTCTGTGTATTGCCAAGACACAAGCATGTTCTGAAGGCAAAATGCTGCATGCAAATATCAACCAACAAAACCTAATCACTGGATAAAAACATATAGACAGAGATGAAGAAATTAACGGCACAGCTTCCTGAGTGTTTGTTGCTATTGTGAAGTGTCAGTAGTTACAGGTTAGCTTTTTTTTCACTGCAGAAAAGCTCCTGAACTCTGAAGGAATTCAGAGGAAGGAGAGAAGAAGAAGAGAAGAAACAGAAGGAAGCCAGCTGCCCCGGCCTTTACCTTTGAGCGATGAGGAGGAGGAGGAGGACTCTGAGACGCTGGATCTCTGGGAGCCGTGCACGGGGCTGCTGTTGGAAACCACCAAGGGGCCGGGGCTCTGCCCTACCGAAGGAATGGTGTTGAGGGTATTCACTAGCTTTGCAACCTCACTGCTGTTCTCCCCAGTCACGCCGGGCCGCTTGACAGTCACAAAGCTGGCGATACTCACTGCCGAGGGAACGGAGGGCACAACAGCGCTAAGAAGGACGCGGTTTAAGCTCTGCCCCACCGTCTGCAGCCCACCCCCAAGCCAGGACCCCTCCTCTCCTGCCCCACGGACACCTGACGAGCAGTCATCCTGCCCAGGGAAAGCAGATTTCCCCAACCTTCCAGATTTACAACATAGGAGTTGTGTCCCACAACGAACCGGACGCCGGTTATCACGGAATCATGAACATTATTTGTTTTTCTTTTCTAAATGCAGCTGTAGACGACGATTACGGCCACTTAAAGCTAAAAATAACCTGGCTACTTGCTGTGTGAAGAAGTATTTTTTTTTCCTTTTTTCCCTTCATTTCACTCACGCATGCAGCCAACATTCAAAAAAATAAAAAAAAAAGCCCAATACAGTTAGTTTCTGCTGGTGCTCATCATCTATTTAACTTCACCTTCCAAAAAGTACAAGTGATGAACAAATGGTGTTTTTCACTTCGGGGGACTCCTGATTGATGGTCTCGGAATATTGCAGGAAACCAAATTTAACTGGTTCTCAAACCAAACTGGACACGACCCTGGGATTAAACCCTCGTTTTCCAGGTTGGTAAAGAGAGCTGAAGCGTGAGTCAGCGACGGGCAAAAAATAGACCCCGGGGAGTTCTGAGTCAATTCTGCCTTTGAGCTGCTGCACGTTTGGTGATGGAATTACAGACAGTGTCACACGCTCGAGGCCCCTCGCTGCTCCGTGGCGAGTCTTACCTAATTTGGGGTTAGTAGCTGGACTGGACTGCCCTGGCTGCGGCACAGTTAACTGTCCCAGTGGTGTTGGCTGCGTTGCAGTGGGAGTTGTGGAGGTGCTGGGAGTGGACTTACTTTGCTGCTGCGCCTGGGACTGGGGCACAGTGCTCCGGATGGTGAGCGTGGCCGGAATGACCGTAGTGAAAGTGTTGGTGGTGGGTCGGACCGGCATGGTCGTACCTGGTCTCACCTGGGCCATTTGAGAGAACACCTGAGGAACTCCGACCGCTGGTTTAACAAACTGCGTGCCCGGGGCTTCAAAAAACAAAGGAACAGACGAGATCAAATCATCGTAATTCTGCTCCTGGCATAAAAATACCCAAGTGCAACCTGTTCTCCAACCCTGCCGAGCTCCCAACACTCCTGCTATCTTCAGTGCAAGTTTTAAAAGTTCAGCACCAAAATTTCAGAATCACAGAATCACAGAATCTTCTAGGTTGGAAGGGACCTTAAAGATCATCTTTCACTTCCCAATCAGACTAAAACTGAACACGGAACCAGACAGAGTGAAGACTGTATCTATAAAGTTTTTTAGGTGGAATTTTCCGAAAGGCCCAAGTAGCTCAGGAGCGCAAATCTCACCAGCTTTCACGGGGCTCAGAGTCCCAGAAACAGGGCTCTCACACCAGCTCTCCAGGCCCAAGAGAAACCTATGGAAGTTTTCTTACGGCAGGACAAGGGGGATCCCACAGTTGTAAATTAGTTCGCAATACAAAGCTTTGGAGATCTGCTGTGGGGAGACCCCTCACTACCCTTGCTGCTTTCTTTAAGGCAGGTTTCTGGTGACCCACGGGTTCTTACTCTCTCTGGTGGTGTGTGACAGGATCTGGCAGCAGAAGTCAGTGTTAGAAAAACCATCCTCAGGGAGAGGCTGGGCTTCCAGGCAGTCGGGGAGCGCTCACACGGCACGGGGAGACTTTGAAACGAAGGAAGAGGGGTTCTCCTGGGCTGGGATCTTGAAATTAAATTGACTGAGGAGGCTTTTTGGAGAGGCCAGATTTACAGAGAGCCCTTCCAGACATTCCTGGGGGTCCCCGACTGCAAAGTGGTTCATTACTTTTGACCAAAGGGCCCACTCTCTGCTGCAAAGTGACTTTATGGCAGAATCACAGCCATAAATATGGACAAACCTCACCTGCTACAGAACTGAACCCTCCTTTAGAGCTACGAGACGCGCAGATGAAATACACATTTCAAATAGTATATTTTTAACCTTTGCTACTCTGAAAAAAGAAAAAAGGGGAAGGGCTTTGGCTTGGTTCAGCCCTTACCTGGGACGAGGGTGATGGGTCGAACCGTCTGACCCTGCTGCACGTTGAGAACGATCCCCACCTGGTTCATCGTGTTTTGCACCGGTCGCACGTTCCTCACGGGAAATCCCTGCGGTCACAGGGCACCGTCACCACCCACACACCCAGCCTCCCCGAAGCGCTTTCACCCTGAGCTCTCTAGCCCAAAAAACCAAATAAAAACACTAAAAAAAGCCCCCCCCAGCTCTATCACCTACAGATCAATGGGACGATGAGGCCACACCGTTCCCAGCCACCCCCCTTACACTCTACAACATCCGATTCACAGCCTCTGCTCTCAACCCTTCCTGCCCAAAGCACCCACAGAACTCTTCTCCCAGGTCTTAAACAATTTATAAACCCATATTTGAAGCAGTTTCCTGGGATAGAAAAACTTGTGACATGCAAAGACAAACTTTTAAGGTTGTTTTTTTTTCCTTTTTGTAAAAGCTGGAGCTCTGGGAAACATGGGCACTTGTTTTGTAGGAGAGCTTCCCCAGGGCTAAAGAGGCCAAGTGGACATTTAAAAAATTACCTGCATGTTTCCCAGGAAAATACAATGAAGTAGTTAAATACTCAGGGATGGCAAACTCTGAGCCCCCTAGTAAGAGCCAGCGGGAGGTCCCAGCAGACCCATGGGGCTCCCCAGGACCTGCTGGGGTGAGGAACGGGGCCAGCTCTCTCGAGCAAGACCCAACGGCAAAAGGACTGGGAACACGAGCTGTTTCCAAATAACACTCTTTCTAAATCTACATAAATTAAAAACCCAAAAACCCCAACAGATTTCAGCTCCAGTGAAACATCAGGCATCTGGTTATTTCTTAACGGAGAACACTCTCGAGGGCTGAGGGCAGGAGCTCTCCTGTCTCGGCCGTCCCGAGGAGGACACTCACCTGGGTGGTTATGAAGATGGGCTGGCTGGTCACCGGGGAGTTGGTGACGTGGTTGGCGTTCTGCATGATCTGCACGGGTCGCAGCACTGGCTGGGTCACCATGGTGCCCAGACCCGAGGCCGGGTTCTGGGTGAGGATGAGGGGCTGCCCGCTCTGCTGCACCAGGGGATTGCCCGCTGGAAGGAAACACAGCTCAAGTTGGGGGAGAAAAGCCACTGCTGATGCTCACACACACACTCGGCTGGTCATTTTAGTCTTCAGAACTGGAAGGAGTTCTCCACAACACGCTTTCAAAGTCAACTCATGGAACCATCCAACCCTTCTATATATTGTTTGACCATTTGTATTTGGACTAGGATTTTCCAAGCTGCCTCAGAAGTAGGTGTTGAAATCCCTCAGCCCTGAGAAGTCTCCCAGACTGACCACCCAGCTCCTGGGTGCCCTTTGAAGGCAGCCACAGCAGCTACAGGAAACGTTGGTTCTGGTCTCATTAACTATGGAGTAAAAATTCACCTGCTGGCAGGTACTGGGACCACTCACTCCCAGCCCTGGCACGGGACGGGTGCCCCAGGCTCCACACGGGGGGTTTCTCAACAGCATCGACAACCTCGGGCCATGGGAGACACCAGAGTCTGCCCAGGGCTCCAGTTGGCCAGGACCAGCCACAGCTCCTACCACTGACACCATCCTCATCAAACCCAGTGATAAATCATAGAACGGTCAGAGTTGGAAGGGACATTAAAGATCATCGAGTTCCAACCCCCCTGCCATGGGCAGGGACAAGAGCAGGTTGCTCCAAGCCCCATCCAACCTGGCCTTGAACCCCTCCAGGGATGGGGCAGCCACAGCTTCTCTGGGCAACCTGTTCCAACAGGACACACAGGCAGCAAAGAGGAGCTCCTGCCATTAAACTAAGTGTGAGATGAGGTTTTGGGGAGAGGGGGCTCCCAGGGTGGGAACTGCTGGAGAGGGTCCAACAAAGGGCTACAAAGATGCTGAGGGGCCTGGAGCATCTCTCTTGAAGGAAAAGCTGAGGGATTTGGGGCTTTTGAGTCTGGAGAAGAGAAGGCTGAGGGGGGAATCTGATCAACGCCTCCAAATCCTTCAAGGGTGGGGGTCAGGAGGATGGGGCCAGGCTTTTCCCAGTGGTGCCCAGGGACAGGACAAGAGGGAATGGGCACAAACTGGAAGAGGGGAAGTTCCATCTCAACATGAGGAGGAACTTCTTGACTTTGAGGGTGGCAGAGCCCTGGCAGAGGCTGCCCAGAGAGGTGGTGGGGTCTCCATCTCTGGAGACATCCCAAATCCCATCTGGACACGTTCCTGTGGGACCTGCTCTGGGTGACCCTGCTCTGGCAGGGGGTTGGAGGAGATGATCTCCAGAGGTCCCTTCCCACCCCATATCACTCTGTGATTCTCACTCCCCCCCCAACCTGCCGTAACCACGCACCGTCACGCACTCGCTGCCCGTCACACCTAAGTGCAGAATTTTCTTCTACAGTTTCTACGTCTTCGGGACAAAGAGCACTTTGGGATTGTTGTGGTGAGAAGAACTTCACGGGTGGAAGTTGTATTTTTATCTGATGGTGGAACTATGACAAAAGCAGTGGAGCTGCCAGGCCGACGTGTCGCACGGTGCCCAACTCATTCTCCTGCCAACAACCCCAGGGCTTTTTTGGGGACAATGGACATACCCGTTACACTGGGCAGCTCTGCACATGAAAGAACTGGTTTGACTGGGATACAGGTAGAATTAAAAGAAATCAAAGGAAATTAAGACAAAAAAAAAAAATTAGGCCGAGCGTCACTTCAAATATATTTAGCTTTTGGTAATTTCTCCTTTTATGCCCCAGTAATTTGAGACATTTTAAAACTAATCTGCAGGGAAAAAACTGGATCCAGCAGAAAGATGAAGAAAGATAAGCTAAAAGGCATTTCCATCTTGCGTTTGGAAACCCTGTTTGTTGGGTTTTGGAGACGGGGTCGTTTCTCTCCAGTCCAGGATGTGCTTCTGCTCCTTCACCCGAAGGAGAACTGGTGGGTTCTGCACAACCAACCCCGGGAGAAACTCCAGCAGAGGTTTGTCAATGGATGAGCTTGAAAGGCAGGAACTACCAACAGGGATGCTGTTATTTAAGAAAAGGATGAATTTTAGGTCTCCAGGCTTGCTCATAAATGAATTACATCCTGGAGGGGAAAAAAAAAACAACACGCAAACCAAAACAAAATCCAACAAAACCTTACACTGGGAGAAGGGAGAGATTCAACGGGTCTTTTTTCAGCCCTGGCTTGTAAGTCTTTTTAATTAATGTAAACCAAAATGCAAGACGACAGCCATGAGCGTAAGAAACAGATTGCTGGGAGCTGGGACGGCTCCAGACGCGGCTCGTTCCGCCAGCCACAGCCACAACTTAAACTGGGATGTGACACCCCCCCCCCAGTTACTGGGCCAGCGGCGACCGCAGGGACCGGGGAGGTGACAGATGTCCCCGTGGCACTTGGCCACTCCAAGTCCCCGCTGGCATCGAGCCGAGGAGGATTCCCCCGCACGCCGACGGGAGCCAGCGGGGACGGGAGGAACACGAGGCTCTGGGGTGGAAAATGTCATTTCCAGTGGTCCCCAAGCGATGGGATCGAGCACCCTCCGCTGCACCCGGGCTGGCAGAGAACTCCCTCCTCCAGAAAACCCAAAATTCGCACAACTGAGCGTGTTTCCGTGTTTTTTTCACCCAACGGCATCCACCCCAGAGCACGGGGAAGCCCCGTGCCCCACGGGGAGCAGGACAAACAAATAAAGAATAAATAAAGGAAGAAAGAGGCAACTTTCTCAGAGGGCTGTGACCTGTGCAGTCTGTAAGATGTGACAAAGGCCTCTCCAAATCAGATTCCTGGACAAATCCACCCATTTTAATGGGATCTGGGAATCACTTGGGCAGAAGATCTTGTGGGGGAACACTGGAACTCATCAGAAGGGTACACAGATATTTTACTGGTAAATATATTGTTTTTAGCAGACTATTTTTTTAGTAGCCACACTTTTTTTTTTTTACTGTTCATCTAATTATAGCACAGCGATACCACCAAGCCTTTATTAATTTCTTGTAATTGATTTACAACATCTGTCTCAAATTACTTTTATTAGCAAAAGCTATGAAATATTCATCGCAAGTGCATTACGTAGCGAGATCTAATACATTTGGAGCTCAAGATACTTTGGCCAGCGAAGATATTGATTTCAGATAATGTATAGAACCTTCCTCGTTACCTGTGTGTCTCCTTTGGGCCAACGAAGATATTGATTTCAGATAACGTATAGAACCTTCCTCGTTACCTGTGTGTCTGATTAGATTTTACTAGAAATGACACAATGAGGTTTTGCCCAGGAGCTGGTGGCCCTGGCCACAGGGATGTCCACATCCTCGCGCCGGGCTCTCAGCTCACGTTGTGGCCAGACACGTTGAACCACCATCGTTCCTTATCCCTGGCCCACAAGCCACAGCCCCACCCCCATTTCAGATATTACGCTGATGTTTGGCCCAATCTTGACCCAAAATAAAGTGACTGAAAGGGCTGAACAAAAGCCTCACTCACGGCACGCGCGTCGGCTTCACCCACACACACCACGGGGAAGATTCCTTCTTCCACACACCAGCCTCAAGCGTTCGGCACGAACCAAAGGGACAGCAAATGAAAGGTCTTCTTACTGTGATGATGTTTCATTTTCTCCCAAATTGTGAGATGCTCATCATCAAGGTTTAATTTGTATAAGGTTTAATCTGTAGGTTTATGCTCAGTGACCCCACTGACACCAACACAGTCCCATCCTCCTGTCTTGGGTTTCCGTTACAAACTGAATGGTCTGAAGAACACAAAGCCTCCCATCTGACAATTACTGCTTCTTCTGAGTCCAAATTCCTCATAATTTGGACAATTAGTGGGTAACAACCTCCTCTGACCTGCACGCTCAACGCAAACTGAACAAAGTTCCGCGCTTTGCTGTTTGTGGAGAACAGGCAAAAAAAAAAAAAACAAACCAAAAAACCCAACTGAAACTGGTCCTATTGAATCAGGGGTTAAGTACGTGATGATAAGTGAATTTTCATCTCGTAAGTTATGTCACAGAAAATACAATTCCCCAATGGAATACCTGACCCCCTCACTCATTTCAGAGCTGCCAGAAGGATCCCGAGTCAGTCACCACCAAAACACACTAAAGCACTTTGTGAAGGAAAAAACACCATCTTCTAGGTAAATTATCAATTCTCTGCTTCTAAGAAACCACAGCTTTGGCTGTAGAACACGAATAACTCGGCCAAAGTTTCCTTCTCGTTTTCAGCCAGAACACCCTCTCCAGCACCTGCAACAATCTCACTCCTCTTGCACAGATGAAAAAGCCATTTCCTGCCCCACATATTGTGGGGACACCCCCCTCCCCACACAGCACCCCCAGCACTGAAATCTTTGTCACAGCTACAGAAACTGAGATTTCTTCCATCACTCATTCACAGGCTTTTCAGCCACAAGAAGGCTACTCACTGGATGGGACGTAACCGGCCACCGCCGCCCCCTTCGCACCGTAACCCCCGCTCCAGGAACAATTCTGGACTGAAAGGGTTAATTACCCGTAGCAGTTTTATCAACTGAATTGTAATCCTCGACAACGGAGTCTTCAATCACATCACTGATTTTCTGCCACGGCTCCAGCTCCTCCTCCTCACATTCCATGAAAAGGTCCGTGTCCGCCATCCTGCCAAGGGAAGAGAAGAGACACCTTCAGTGGAAAACCGTGATTTACCGGGCACCAAAAGTCTTGTTACAAGAAAAACTGCAACGCCAGAAATATCAACTATGGTTTCGTTTCCCAATATTCCAAAGGAAAAAAAAAATATAAAAAAAATCAGTCGCATATTTTCAGGTTCTTACTTATTTCTCTGGCCACAGAGCTGACTCCGCGTCCCACATGAACAGGCTGTGGTTCCTTTTCAGATTAATCTGTGAAGTTGGGCTGAAACCCCCTGGTTCTGACTTAAAATTGCAGTGGTTTTCCCTCTCCTGCCTAAGAAAGCCAACGTAACAGCTGTGAAATCAGGGGTCACCACCCCCAGAACTCCAATACCTTTAACTGAGTCAATAACTGTGGGTGACAGAAGGAAGAACCATGGGGTTTGGTGGTGGTTTTGAGCGTTGTCGGATTTGTACACCCGGCAGGGAGGGGGTGTCCAGGCTCCAACGAGTGAAATCCGTGTGTGTGACAGTCCCCAGCACCCACAACCAGACCTGCACTCCCCCAAACCACCACAAACCCCTGCAAATTACAAAATTAATGGGGTTTTCTGCCACGAGCTGCAGCTGGGTGACAGCAGGGAAGAGCCAGCTCCGTCCCTCTGCCACCAGGAACACACGTGGACGGGGACCACGCGGGATTCTGCTGCTCCTCATTCCATTTTGGTGGCAAAAGGGACTGTTGTGATGGCATTTTGTATTCTCTACCACCATTTGACAGCCGTAAAAATCCGATAAGAAACATGTTCCGAGAGAAACCGGCCAAAATAAACAGCTTCTAATAAAGGACAAGGGAGAAAATAATCCAGCCCCATGTGCTGTGTTTCCAACAGCCCCAGGACACAGGGATGGCCAGAAGGCTCCAACACAGAGTAACGCTTATTAGCTCACTGTTGGGAAACTGGAAGGGACGTACGTAGCTTTAAAATATAAACTGGATTAAGTAACCACAGAGCAATTAAATTATAAATCTTATCTCGTTAAGCTGTGTCTGCTCGTCCTATCCCAACACCATCACAATTCCAGGCAAAGAATCACAGAATCTTCTAGGTTGGAAGGGACCTCTCAAAGATCATCTTGTCCAACAAAGAAACGCTGAAGCTGCCCCAAAATTCAGGCTGTAAATCAGCCCGAAGCTGGGGCGTGCGGGAGTGAGACCGAAGCCCATGAAACCTTTAATTTTCATTTCCATGGTCCCACACCAGCCCTAAAACACAACTGGGAGATCTTCCAGGGTTCCTGCAACCCCACATGAACCCGCAGCAAAAAGCGGACAAATGCTGAAGTAACTGCCTTACCCGGGTAATACCCAAAAAGTCAGAATCCTAAAAACTTGTCCGTCTTCCCCAAATTCCGATTGCCGGCACTTTTTTGAGGCCACACGTGCTGTCGCTGTCCCACTGAAGTAACCACCTTACCCGGGTAATACCCAAAAAGTCAGAATCCTAAAAACTTGTCCATCTTCCCCAAATTTTTTGAGGCCACACGTGCTGTCGCTGTCCCCCGGGACAAAGGCAGCCTCTCAGAATCCCTTTTTTCTGTGTTTTGTCTCCAAAGGTCTCGGGGAGCCCAAGCCGCGCCGCTGTCGGCGTGTGACGGTGTTTTACCAAGAAATGCTCAATTTTAGGCTTGGTGACACTAATACAGGGAACTCTCACTTCCCAGTTATGCTTTTGAAGCACAGCAATGCTCATTTTAAGAATCACACCGATGGTATTTAGCAGAAGCCCACGGCCCCCCCCCCCTCGTGCTGGGGAACCTCCATGTCCCCGTGGATGGAAAAGCGAGATCCTGACCCCGGGCTCAGCTCCCACGGGCTCCTCCTGCCTCTGCCTCAGCAAAACACCTTGGAACCAACACGAAAAACCAGCCAACTGATCAAAAAATAAATAAATCAAGTCTCACACCTGCCAAATAAAATTACGTTAGGATCTTTTTAAAAAAAAAATAAATACCCAAACAGTACTGTAATAATCCCACTGTACAATTAAGCAAGTGTATCCCATTAAGCACCAACAGGCTCACGTTCTCCACAGGCTTCAAAGCCATCCCCGGCGCCTTCATTTGCATAAAACCTGCAGCGTGTAAAAAATTTTATTAACCTTATCTCAAAGGTGGGAAGCAGAGTTCAGTGAAATTAAGCGACTCGCCGCAGATTCTACCTGCAGCGAGGGGCTTAGGAATAAAACTCGGCGCCCAGCCCTTGTTCACCATCCTTCAATGGCAACTCAAACTTCCTCCTGGTTTGGTGAAAAAAATAAATATTAAAAAAAAAAAAAAATAATGGAGAGATGATAAAAATAATGGAGAGATGATAAAAATAATTGCTGAATGCAAATGGTAAGAAAATAGATGCCAAGAATGGAAGCTCGGAGGTAGAGGTTCATGCTGGAGATGTGCTTGGCAGGGGAAAGCGAGAATCAAAGAGCCTTAAATCTCATTTTCTCTGTTAACATCAACTTTTTGGTGTCACCCAGCTCTTCCCAGAGCCAGGCACCGTCTCAGCGGGGAACCGCCCCGGGATGGGGGGCAAATACCCATTGCTGCTGATCAATAACTGCAGAGTTGGGATTTCCAATATCCCTCCTTCCCAGAAACATCCAGAAGAGCCCCTCGGTGGGGACAAAGCTCCTCTCGGAGCCCCGTTTCCCCGGAATCACGTTCCCCGGCAGGACACAGAGCAGGACCCCGACGCGGCACCGATGGGCAGGCTATAAATAGGCGGGATAAATAACCCGGGCTATTAATTAAAGCCAGCTCATACGTCTGCCCGGGGAGGTCGGAACCACAGAGGAAGCCTCGACACACGTGGTAAAACAAATATATTATTCAGCACCTCGTAATTATTCAGAAGATGCAAAGACAAAACGCTGAAGAGACTGTAGTTACAAGCTCCCTTTGACACGAACTTACATTATGCGCAGAGTATTTCATCTGTTCGCATCAACCCAACTCAGAAAATGTCTCCTCTCCTCTAGATCCTAACAGCTTTGTTTTTCAAAGCTTTGATCTTGAATATTTTTGTATGTAAGGAGCCTTTGCTCAATAAAATGATTAATCCCAATGATAAATACTCTGCGTTTAGCTTTTCAGCAGGCAGTTGGCAGATGCTCGGTTGAAAAACATGGATGCCAAAAAATTTACAAAAAAAAATTAAATATAATAATAAATTACAAAGTGTTCTAGACACGCTGCAAGAAATAAAGCCTTTTGGCCAGGAAGGTAATTTCTCTTCCCTTTGGCTGGAAAAGGGGAGAAGACCTCCAGGGGAAGAGTCGACATATGTATTACTTTTTATATATATATATATATATTTTTTTTTTTTTACATATATATATATATATATATGTATTGGCCTTGCAGAGCCAGAGCAGACCCTTTATTTTTTGTCAGCTCATTGTTGCCATTCGGGGGGAAAAAAAGCCAAGAGCCATCAGGCTGGTGTATTAAAAGCCCGGCCACCTGATTACACTCCGATCGCCGCGGCCAGGGGAAATCCAACAATGAAGCTGTTTTATTTGCATACAAGGAGATAGATTTCCCTGCCCGGGGAAAAGGAGAAATCCTGCTCTTTTCTCCTGCAGAGAAAAAAACAAGTCTCCTTTGCAAATTTCAAACGGAATTGGGAATCTAAGGTCCAAGTGCATTTATTTACCAATGAGCCACTTTCAGAGAGTTTGAAAGACACCAAAGACAACCCTGATGGGCTCCGTGCTCTGGTTTAGAAGACCCCTGGTGCTTCCCATCTCCACCAAACCTCCCAACGACCCCCAGCCCAGCTTTCTCCCCCTGAACACGGCGACCAACAAAGGACTTGGCTCCCACAAAGCAAGTCTGGACTCGGGAATTTCCCCAACTTGGAGAGAAGGGGGGTCCCGAGCGTTTCCCCTTCCCCCCAGCGCCCGCGGATGGCAGGTCCCTCTGAGGGGGGGGGGAAACTCTCCCAAAGCCACATGTTCTGTATTTACAGCTTCATTCACAGCTTGAGAGGATGTGACACAACGCAAACAAGCGATGACACACACGTGCTGCGCAGACACACACACACACACACGCTGCTCTTTAAAAAGGGCTTCAAATTAATGACTCCTTCACGGTCTTCTTCAGAGCTCCCATCATGGGATGCGCTACTCTCGCTATGTAAGCTTCCCTTGCTAGGGCTTTTAATTAAAAACAAACAAACAAAAAAAAGTATAAATAAATCAGTAGTTGGCAGGGCACCGCTGGTGGCCCAATTTCTGCCGACTGGGTGAAATCATCTGCGACACAATCAGTCCTAAGGGCACAGGAGCGGGTCAGAAGTAAATACACGCTCCGTGATACAGGTGACTTGGCAAAGCCAAAAAGCTGAATTTTGTTGAAAGCCGGAGGAGGGAGGGAGCCCATTATCCCCCAGGGCCAGAGGCTCCGACCCACAATCTCACACCGTCCTCCTTCCAAGGTGACGTTACCTCCGGAGGTCCCAGTACAGCCACGGACTGCACCCGGGGAGAAGCTGGAGGAGGAATTCACCAGCTTGGATCAAAAATGGGATGTTCTGAGATCAGCAAAGGGCCCGGGACCCTCCGGTCCCACCTCTCCCTCCCCGGGGAGAGGGGAGAACTCCAGGTGCCAAGGCACTGATGCTCTGACCATCACGGGCAGCGAGTTAAATCATTGGAAATAACAGCCTTTGGTAACATCCAAGCCTTCTCCAACCCTCATTTAAAGCTTCAGTCCCATTTTCAAAAGAGAATTTGGATTTACACTGTGTGAAACCACGTGGATAAGCAGCAAGAATCTGTCCCGTGTCAGCCCTGCCGAGGTTTGGGGGGCTGGCCAGGAGGGATGCTCCCTGAGCCCCTTCCTCCCAGAGAGGGAGAGGAGAACAAGGGACAGAAGCTCGTGGGCTGAAAAAACCCTCAAACAGCTACAACGAAATACTGATGGTAAAAAGAAAAGATAATATTATTACTAAGGAAATAATGAAATATATACAGAACCGATCTGGAGCCCCCAGGATGATGCTCCCATCACCAGCAGCACTGGATTCAGAATGCAGGGATCAAAGGCAGATCCTTGGATACCAAAGGAAGAGCCTGACCCCTCCGATCCCTTGGAATTTCACCCACACACCGTGAAGGGAGGGACACCCCAGGGTCACCCCCTGCTCCATCTTCCCGTGGCCTGACCTTGGCTGTGGTGGGAAGAGGCACCAGCAGGAGCCTCCCCGACACCATCCCCGACACCAGCCATAAACACCAGCCCTTATCGCGCCGGGAGCCAGCACCGCCTGGAAAACACCCCGTGAAACCCAGAGAGACTTCACTGAAAAGTCAAATCACTGCCCAGAAACGGGCTCTATCCCCTCTCAGACCCGGAGAAGCGCAGAGCTTTCACGTGCCAGCTCTGGTTCTCCTTGTGGAAAGAACAAAGTCCCAACCAGCTCCCGCGGGGAACCCTCGCTCACGGGTGACTCGGAGCGATGAAGGACTGAACGAAAGCTGAGGAAACGGTGAGGAAACACTTTATGGACTTTAAAGATGGGCTCTGCACTTCCCAAAAAGTCTATGACCACCACGTTTTAGCCCAAAGGTGGCTCCTGCAGGTCCCCAACACCAGCCCTGGGTCAGCGCTGGCACAGAGCAGCCCCAGTCCCCACCACGGACCCACAACTCCATCCCACACCACACTTTGAGCACCAACATAAACCTTCTCCATCCTTCTCGCCAGAGCTTTGTCACAGCTTTTAGGCCAGCCCAGATTTCACTGTAGCTTGGTTCTAAAGCTATCCATACCCCAATCCTTTCCAAAAATACCTATTACTATTTAGTTGACCCTTGAATTTTCTTCACCGCTTGCTATAAAACCACCTCCTCCCCTCCTGACAGCCCAGGAGAGACAATCTCAAAGACAAGATCGAGGGTCTGTCTTTACAAGACCTCCAGATAAGCTGGAGAAGACAACTCAGTGCAGGCTTTAGGCCAGAGATTAAAGCATAAATCAACTTCTCCTGCCCCAAGTTCTCCTTCCAAACAACCACTTCTTCTCCCCACCGTGTCCTCCCCATGCGAACGCCCGGCCTCAAGAGAATCACTGTCTTGTCACTTATTTTCTCACTTTCTTTTGATAACGAGCACTTTATGGCAAGGAACATATCCTTAACTTTTTAAGAACCCAGAAACCCGACGAGGCGACGTTCAACGCAAACGAATCCCACGACAAAGGTTTCTGCTGCCGAGACGCTGCAACCCCTGCTCTG